GCCACTAGGGTGCCTCAGCTGCCGGACTCCAGGCCGTGGGCTCCCATTCTTGGATCACGTCGTAGAGCTGGGCACCCCCTGAAAGCTGGACTTCGGCCCGATCACTACGAGAGGGCTGGGGCCTAGCGCCCAGGCCTGTCCCCGTCCTCTCCCATGAGCTCAGGTAGCTCCCTGCCTCGCGTGGGTCTCTTGTGGGTCGCAGTCTAAGGCGCTTATCTAGCCCCGCTTTTGGGGGGAGAAGTGGGGGCTATTTCCCACCCATAACCATAGGTGCTGAAACTAGGGGTGATCTCACACACACACCCCTCGGCTTGAAGGGGTTTCCATTTTATCCAGGGTTTACAGTTTGATTCAATGGCTCTCAGCATCCCCAATATATACATGGTTCAGCACGCCTGCCCATGACTCTAACCGCCCTACACCCCAGCCCTTTGCATTTGCTCAGGAGCGGGGCTGTGGCTCCCCCGATCTCAGGTTGTCCCTGTGGGGAGGTGGGTCCCGTGGGGCGGGGGGCTGGGCTCTCAGGCGCAGAGGGATCTGACTGATAAACGCTTCTCCCTGCAGCCAGACCATCGGCCCCATCCGTGTCCGGCCCCCCCAGCAGGGCAGAGCCGGGTTCCTCAGTGAATTTCACCTGCACGTCAGGAGGATTCTCCCCCAGAGACATCGCTGTGACCTGGCTCAAAAATGGGGATAAACTCCCAGCCCCCCAGCCCCGGGTTCTCCCTGCACACGAGAGCGTCTCCTTCAGCGTGTCCAGCACCGTGGGGGTGAACCTGACCGCAGGAGACGCCTGCTCCCAGCTCACCTGTCAGATAGAGCACAGCACCTTACCGGCTCCCCTGCGTGTGACTTACAACCTCAGCGATGCCCTGCGAGGTAGGAGCCCAGCCGGGGCTGACCCCTGGGCGCTCTGCTACTGAGGAGGGGCAGAGATGGATCCTTCAGCCTTTGGGCCGGGTAGTGGAGGGTCAGGGGGGTAAGAGGGGAGTCACTGAAATCCAGATTCAGGTCTGGACTCTGTCCTGTGCCCTTAAAACTTTGAGACACTTCGCCCTGGGCTGGCACATCCCCTACTCCAGCCCAGTGGAGGGCAGGGTGGGGAAGATGTTTGACTTTGTTTAAACCCTGGTAACACCACTCTCCATTTTAATGTACTCGAGCTGGGTCTGTCGGGGGGTTTTCCAGGGGGAAGGGGAGGGAAATTGGGGACACAGTAGATTTGGGTTTTCACATTCTGCTCCTTTTAAAACATTCGCCTTCCTCTGGGTTATTCCTGTGTGGGGGCCAAGGCTCTCACACGTGGGAAGGCAACTTAGAGATAGCCAAGTTCTTTGACCGCGGAAAAATATCACGTGGCAAGTGGGATGTGAGCTCAGTGGGAAGGTCAGTCTGTCCAGGCCAGGAACTTCCCTGTAACTCAGCAGGAAAAGGAGAATTTCTGTAGATGCCGAGTGCAGGATATCTGTGTTCTCAGTTCCCCCCAGGCTGCGAGTGGGCACTGCCCCAGCGGCGCCTGTCGCACTGAACGAGTCTGTGACGTTCACCTGCCACGCGGAGGGGTTTTACCCGAAGGACGCGAGTCTCACCTGGCTGGAGAACGGAAATGAGACGAATCTGGGAAAACCCTCCCCCCTGGCTGAGAATCCAGACGGGACGTACACGCTCCAGAGCTCCCTGGAGGTCAACGCAACCAAGCAGAGGAATCAGTCCGTGTTCACCTGTCGGGCTGTGCACGATTCCCAGCCCCCTGTGAATGCCAGCATGACACTGAGACTCTCCCAGCCATCTCCTGAGCCAGGCAAAGATCCCACTTCATCCGATGCAGGTAAATGTGCAGTCGAACCCCACCCCCCTGCACTGCTGGGAAATGCCAGGTCTGTTCTGCGGAACCCAGGGGCCATTTCAGCCCATCTCCGCCAGGGGAGCCCCTCAGTGTAACAGCCACTCTTTTATTCCAGGATTATCGCTCGGCTCTGCTCTCCTGGGGCCCATGGGTGGAGGGGGAAGGTTAAGGG